CACCCCAAAAGTGTCAGCTCCCTAAACCCAGTGACCATAACTATGGAAGACAATATGCTTGCATTGTAAGTCAGGAACACTCAGGAACTGGCACAATGACCACAGAACCGGCCATGCTAAAGCATTCCTAGGCAATCCTTACATGATGCGAGCTTTCTTCCCAGTTTCTAAGCCCCCTCTCCCTCCCTCCAGTATCTTCAGCTTGCAGGCCTATGCTGAGTGCTCCGGTCACACTTGTTTTTCCCCAGCATTATTTTGGGAATTACTTTCACATGAATGCAACATCTTTTAGCCTAGAAGCGCTACGGAAAGAGGGACTGTGCCTGTCACACCGTTGTGTCCCTGGCACTGAGTGGGCATTAAATGGCTACTATGCGTTAGTGAAAGGGAAGCAGAGGCCCTCGTTTGTTCCTTGGCCACAGCACAACTCTGCAGAGGAGAAACAATGCAAAATGGTACACAGGGAACCTGAAAATCCTACCAAAATCCTTCTCGATTTAAATTCAACAGAAATTATTTTTAGCCTTTTGAAGGAAGCTCTGAAGTTAATGATTTACTGTTGATTCCAGGCTCCCCTTCTTTATCCTTTTTGGTCCTGGCCCAGAACTTCCCCCTAACTGCTGGCCTAAGTCTTTTTCAGAAAATATAAATTTCTCCTTTTAGGGCAGAGTAGCGGGGGCCCAATGAGGAAAACGTTCTATGGGGAGAAAGAATATTCACAACCTTCTACCTACACCAAAAAAATCTCTCATCTAGAAAAAAATGCAGAAGGATCTGAGCCCAAAGAGAACACCTTTTTCTTTGCCCCTTCAAGGTGCAGTGATCCTCCTGGACTCACTAAAGGCCATAGGACCCTCGGGGACCACTCAGAAGATACGGGGCTGTCTTCTGACCTCAGTTGGCTGAATTTTTCTGATGCTTGAGGACTGGAGAGATTGGCTAGGTTGGCAATGGGACAGGAAAGAAGAAGAGACAATAAAAGAAGGAAGATGAAACATTACAGTGAGAAAAGTAGCAAGCAAAGGAAAAGGATCTCACTGGAAACTAGATTTCTCCAATCCAGGCAGCATTACTTCCTCTGAGCTAGGGCCTCAGCCCAGCATCTTAACTTGTTTAGACACAGTCATCAAGGTGGAAATCTTTCATCACGTAAATTCCAGTGTGTCCCCTCTTACACACCTCCTGCACGCCTGCTTGTTTCCCTAAATCCCGTCCCCTTTAGAGCTCACACTCGTGGCTTTGTTTCTGGATGCTGCTGAACACTAAGGCAGCCGAGCATTTCTAAGCCTTCTTGAGTCTCTAATCATGTCTTGTCCATAGGGGTAACTTCTCCTGCTCCAACTAGAAAGTGCTCACCTGGGGGACATAGTGTTAGTATGAGCATCAGGTCACAATCGCACATTCTACCAGGCAGCAAGATGCAACACAAACTTAAAATTTTCTGTGCCTCTGAGAGTCTCTGTGTTGCTATTTTAGCAAAACAGCCAACAGAGCATTAACAGACTGTGAACAAGAAAATATAAACGATATCATCACCTTCTACCTGGAAGGAAGAGATCAGGCAAGTAATTCAAACTCTTTAGCCTAGAGAAAGAATATTAAGAATTAAGCCCACTTGCATTTACAGTTGTGTGAATACAGGCTAATAAAACCATGTTAATGCCAGAAATGTTAAAGATTCTGAGTTCATAAGGTTCCTTAGTGGTTATGACTTAAGTCTGCTAATCTATGCCAAGTATGCCATCATCTACAGAATACAAAGGAAAAGGGTCATACTCTGTGATGAACCAATCTCTCCAATCTTTTTAAAAAGACAGTCTCACTATTTTGCATAAGCAGTTGAACGTCTGAGCTCAGTGACCCTCCTGCCTCAGCCTTCTCAATAGATGGGCATATGATTCCAACCCAGTCTCCCCAATCTTACTTTACCTTGGTTTCCAACCAAAAGAATTCAACCATCAGATAAATATCTTTATTTCTATTTTTAGCCTGCTGGGGCCTCCTACAGACAACAGAATTATGTTAGGCTGTCAGGCTCCTTGAGTGTGGTCTTCCACCAGCAGGCTGGTCTTTTATAGCATTAGCTCAAGGGAGCACCTAGAGGTTGATACTGTTTCCTATGCCTGCCCAAATAAACAGCTCTGCATAACTTGATGCTCTTGTAGAGGTTCCCTGCATCTTAGCTGTTCTGAGTCTCCTCTCCCCCATCTCTTTCTTCCTTTTTACACATGAGGAGTCACTGTTGGAATTAGGGGCTAAAATTACTAATGGAGAGAGCTGGGGATTTAGCTTAGCAGCTTAAGTGCTTGCCTGGCAAGTGCGAGGTCGTGAGTTCGATCCCCAGTATAAAAAAAAAATTACTCATGGAAAGGACCGGGAATATAGCTCACTGGCACAAATGCCTGCTTGGCAAGCACAAAGTCATAAGTTCAGTCCCCAGTACCAAAAATAAAAAATTACTAATGGAAAGGTTGTTTTTGGACATCTTGCCTTTCCAGTTCCAGGATGAACCTTATGGTAAATCTTAGAGGAAAACAAACAAGGATACAGATTTGTGACCTAAGGAAAATATCAGTGAGCAGTTGTGCCAGCGGTAGGAGCCGTGGTCTAGAATAGGAGAGTTATCTGCCACCAAAAGTGATGGCTTTTAACTATGGTACTGAAACTGAGACTGGGAAGGAATCCAAAACACTGACTATAACATTTACTATCCAATGCTGAAAGAAAAGTAGAATACATTGTGGCCTTTGAGATGAAAGCTCTCTGAGAATCATGAATACAACTATAGGAAAGGATTAAGAAAATTGGAAAATTGGAGGCATGACTTAATAGTCTTCTTAGCAGTGAAGGTTCCAGTTTAGTGGAACATCTGAGTGCCACTTTGTAAGACAAAGTGAAACAGTGAAAGAAGGGAAAAAGAAAAATCTTACCTAAAAATTCTAGGTATTTGTAAAGCACTGCACAATCTCACTAAAACCTCTTTAAGGTCAATACTGATACAAAAGTGAGCAAATAATGAAAGATATTTAGCTGAGTGTGGTAGTGCACACCTATAATGCCAGCATTCAGGATGCTGAGGCAGGAAGATCACCATGAATTCAAGGCCAGCTTGGGCTACAAAGTGAGTTCAAGACTAGCCTGAAATCTTGTCTCAAAAAGCCAAAAAAAAAAAAACAAGGAGGAATTTAGCTGGTAAAAACTAGTCAGTGAAGCTCAGAGGCACAGTGCCTGCCTGGTAAGCGTAAGGTCCTGAGTTCGATTCCTAGTACCTTCCCCCACCAAAAACCAACAACAACAACAACAAAAACTAGCCAATACCTAAAGGCAGTTACTAGATACTAGCTGGAAGACAGAGACTAAGTCGCATGGGAGCAATTAAACACTGCCATCTTAACCAGGTCTCTTTTTGTGCTCATGGTGTGAGCAGAGGAAATGGTAGCTGTGGGGACCTCACCACAAGGGATAACACACTGCCCTCCATAGGCACCCATATGGTAAATACTTCCAGATACATGGGCTCTGTTTTAACTGGAGACAACTAATTTATCAAACACCTATTTTAAGTTTGGATATACATTATATTATTTAACCCCAGTAACATTATGGGCTAGGTATTATAACATTATTTTCCAAAGACATGGACTCTGTGAGGCTGAGTAAACTGTTCAGTGTTATTCAGGTAGTACTCAGCACAGCTGATACTTGCACTCACAGCCTGTGAAATAGGAAACTGAATTATAGAAGAAAAGATAAGACATAGCGAAACCCCCTTGAGTTGCAAAAACAAGATATGGACAATATGCACATTATCTATGCAAAATCTCCCACTTTTTTATGATAAAGAGTTTAGATTTAGGGTGGGGTACAGGTTTGTAGAGAGTACTTGCCTAGCATGTGTGAAGAGACCTTGGGTTTGATCCCCAACACACATGTCTAGACTCCATGTCATAGCTTATAATATAGCACTGGCTAGGGGTCAAAGTCTCTTAGAATTGGTAAGAAGTATGAGATGGTCTCTGAGGAAGGCTCCGAACTAGGAGACCGTAAGGTGCTAAAGGCATCTGAGAATGAGATCTTTCCTCCCCTTCTTGCTTCTCAAGCACAGACAGCCTGGTGTACAGAGTTAAAAAATAATTTGCCACAAAGATGCTATAGCAAGGTCTGAATGAGAAAGCAAGTTTCCTTTTGTTCTCTATGTTAATGAGGACAAATTTCATAACATAAAGCTCTGGGCATGTGAGCTGAGCCAGGCATGCATGAACTGAGATTTTTCTTATTCTTTTTTAAATATAGATTAAGAAGAACTATTTTTTTAAAGTGTATTCGGGAAGAAAAATGATGACAATGTCATATGTACATGTACCAGTTCTCCAAGATGATTGTAATTATTATGAACTACAAATATACACCAATAAAAAAGTGTATGGGTCAAGGTTGAAAAAATTATCTCTACATAACTGCCTTACAGAAAACAATCAGTAATCTGGTGGATATGTCTATATGTCTTATAAGTGTCACTACCTCATTTCTGTTTATTATTATATATATAGCCATATGCAATACAGTAGTCAAATGGGTTGATGGAAGACTTTTTGGAAGACTCCATTCTCCATTGTATTCCTCAGTGTGAGGAAGAATTGCATGTTTAACTCTTTTGTAACCAAAGACTGATAGAGTATTGAGGGCTTGCTGATTATTTTCTGATAAAAGCATTTACACACAAGCATTTATGAGATAAATACCGTCCCCTCTGTATACTGATACAGAAAAGGAGGGAACACTGATCTTCAAAGAATACCATTGTCCATAAGCATCAGCTTTGTGAGAGAAATGACTCTGTGGCCTCACCTCCTTACAGTGCTTTTAGATTCATACTTTCCTCATCAGATAAAAATCTATCAGTTTGCTCTACAGAAAAGTACCTTCCCTAGAAGACAGAAAAAATATTTTGAAATGTTAGCTGGCTTTCTCAAATTTCTCCACCCTGAAATGGGCTTTACCTTCCACAGGGGAGGTTTTCAGTATACTGCAGATATTCTGTACCCCGCCATAGTGGACATTGATGTGAGTCACTCCATCAGCTGCACGAAGTTCCATGAGTTTCCTCAACTCCATTAACGTAAAACCAAAGTCACTTTCATGGCTCTCAGCCATCGAGTTGGCGGGAAAGGAATGTCCTGATGGGTTCGTCATTGTATCTGTGATCCCAGCCCCTCAACCAGAGAATATGAGGAGTCTCCCCTCAAATGCCCAATGTCTCTTGCCTTCTTGTCCCCGCCTTTTCCTGCTTCTTGCTTCTGTGAGGGCCCAGTCAGAAAACAGAGTAATAATATCTCCTAAAGGTAGCAACCCAAGCCTTGAGCTTTTCTTCTGTACAAAGCCTGTCAGTGAGAACAGGAAGAAGATGGGGGAGCCAAATAGAAGACGGACTTCGTGTCACGGTGACTGGTGTCCCCTGGGTGGTGACGGAAATGGTTGTCCAGGACAGGTAGGTTCCTAGCTTACATTGACTTGTCCAGATGGAGGTGTAAAGAGGATGTGCTTGTTACATGGAGGCGATGTTAGTGACAGCCAGCAACTGTGGTGGTAGATCAGCAGGACGAGGAAAAGGAGGGCTCCCTGGATACTGATGACAACTGGATCTCTGGAATGAAGACAGACAAAAATAAACAAAGTGGCCATGAAGATCTGGAACTGCGAAGATAAAAGGTACCCCCATTTTAGCACAAGCATTTAGGTGACAGTTGATGTCTAAGTTTAACCAATAGTTGAGGTCTGAGCTGAGCGAACTGACTCATGAGAGGCCCCTTCCCCTCAGGGGGCCTAAGGAGCCTGTATATTACAGTACAGAGAAGTTATTTCAGGTACATCCCAGCCTTCTGGTCTCACTTCTTCCAAACCAAACCACACAAACCCCACAACTTCAGGAACTTGGAAATAAAAGGTTCTGACCTCTACCAGTTCTACTGTTCTCTTGAGTATTTGAGGGCCCCTCAGAGGATTCTTTAGTCTGACTATACCGGTAAGAGGAGAAAAGAGGCAGAAAAAGGAGTCAAGATCCAAGTGGTCTGGAGGGTGGCCTGCCTATCTGCCACCCTCGCTCCACCTGTGTCCCCACTTCCACTGCAGACATTTACAAACCAGGAAGACACTGTGATAGGAGATGCCCAAATCCTTCCTCTCCTAAATACTTAGCCTTGAGCTATATGGAGATTCAGCTGCCTGTGGCAGTTGTCAACCAGTCAGGGGACACATTTTAGTCTTGAGGCACACCTCCAACCCCAGGAGGTTTTGAGAGGAAAGACAGAGTAAAATGCTCCGCAATTTACCAAACACTGTGGAAGCATTTTTTATGAAGGGGGCAGAAGAACCTCTGAGGCAGAAAGATAGTGACTCTGAAGCCTCGGAGTGTGAGCATTTCCCAATGTGGGACTGATAAGACAGCTAGAGTGGGGGCCCTGCAAGTCTTTAGGAGAGACAAGCCAGTCTACACACAAGGGACACCAGAGTTTCACTTCAGCACAGCGGCTTTATCAGAGGAGGCGAACACTTCCCCCTCAGCAAAACAAGTGTCACTACTCCCACAGGTGTGGGGGAAGACGTGTGTGAAAATACGGAGGGCTGGAGGTGGACAAAGTCTGACTCTGCTTCCGACAGGGGTTGGCTGCACATCATATGAGAGCCATTTCCTCAGTTATTGTGAAGAGGCTCCTAAGCCATCCTAAAGTGAAGGGGCTCCTCTTGAGCACAGCACTGCAATATGTAGAGCCTAGTCCTGGCTCAACAGCCCCCATTGACTAGACTTGAGCTCAGTTACTAGGGCCTGGAGAGGACCTCAGGTAAGACTGTTTAATTAGCAGATGACATCCTTGCTTCTAGAAGGTGAATGAAGAGGCAAAGGAAATCACAGATAAGGCCTTGATTCTTTTATCAATTAATTTCATCAAAATCCCATGTGGGCAAAGTCTGTTAATTTCAATCAATCCTGTTCCCTGATTAGATTGATCGTTTGGGGATGGAAGTTGTTATACCCTTTCATCTCCCAAGATTCCCCTGCCACCGCTCCATCATAGATGTTTAGCACTTCCCTGACTTAACAAAGAATTAAGCAAAGAGGTTGTATCTGTTTTTGTTTTCAAATATCCCTGGAGAACAAGGTATGAAAAGAACCTGAGGCATTGGGTCAAACTCCATTTAGATTGGCATAGGAATGTTGGTACAGTCATCCCTCTTCACTCACAATCCCATGGAAAGAAGAGTGACAAGAGGACAATAAAACATTTTGGGAGAGAGAGGTCACATTTACATAACTTCTATTGCAGCACATTGCTATAATCATTCTATTTTATTATTGTTGTTAATCCCTTATCATCTTAGTATATAACTTAAATTTTATCACAGGTATGTATGTTTAGGGAAATACAGTTTCTACAGGGCTCTGTACTATGCAGATACAGTGTGTCCTTGTGGATCAGGAGGACTACTGTTGCAAGGATTATCTCTCCATTGGAGCTTTTCCTCCAAGTCTGGAAGGAATAGGAGAGGCCATGGCAGTGAGATATCATCTTGACCCTTAATTAGAATCCTTAGCCTTTCAAGACTCCTCTGGAATGGATATTGGGGCAACGCTGACAAGGAGTGAAGCTGGGAGTAGATTTTTGTCTTTTTTGCCCAGCTCACTACAATGTTTGCAGCATGAAGACAGGGATGTTTGCTGTCTCATTCACTCCTTTTTCCCAGTGCCAAGAAGAGAACCTACACATGGTGGGCGTTTGGTTAATATTTGTTGTCGTTGTTGAGTGACTAGTAACAGACCCAGAACCAGACACACATACCACCTTCTCCCTCATTCTTTGGGTAAATCACTTAGCTTTCTTAAGACCGGGTCCTCTCACCTCTCATGGGGAGGAGAATCAGCCAATTCTTTTCACACCATCCTAAATTGGTACTAAGGGAGTGGGATTATAGATTTAAAAACAGTGCTTCAAAATCTTGGAAAGGTTCACAGCATCTGACATAGGGCACTCAAGTGATAGGAGAAAGCTGAATTTGATCTGAATAAAGTTCTGTTATCTAATCCTCTAAGCAGAAGGGCAGTAAGATCCTTGCATCCTTCCCATCTTTCCTTGCCAGAGTTCCTCTGACTCCTCAAAAAAATTGGGAAATGCTCAGGTAGCTTCCTTAACCATAACGATTATGCTGGGCATGGTGGTGTACAGCTTGTAATCCCAGCACTCTGAGGTAGGAGGATCATAAGCTTGAGCTTGGTCTGAGTAACTCAGAAGCTTAATAATATCCTGTCTCAAAATAAAAAACAATGATAATTAAAGGACTGGGAATGTAGCTCAGCACAGAGGCTCTGGGTTCAATTCTTAATGCTACAAAAAAAAAAAAATCCTTGTCATTAGCTAGGTTATGACCATTGGTAGTAATTATCGGCTTATGTGGTATTTCCTGAGCTTCTGGAAAGTAAGAACTGACAGTCTTTTTCCAAATTTCTTGCTTTGAACCTCTCCTCTGGGTCCCAGAGGGGAGAGATTCTTTCACTCACCTACGCAATTGATGGATAATGATCCACAAGGTTAGAACACATGGGACTAAAGAGAACATGTGGAAAAAAATAAGAGGTCTGTCTATTTCAGGCTGATCTACAGATACAAACACCCAGTCACAGCATAGTCAAAGGGCAAGGTGTAGTGGGAGCTAGGTTCAAGGTAAGGTCACAACAGAAGTCATTAGCAGGTATATCAGAGTGCTAATACGGCTAAGCTCTCTAGGATATGAGCTCTTTGCAACTTGCCTGGTCTCTGACCTTTGCAAGTGGTCACACTACTGTGGCCTGCGAGGTGCTACCTCTGTCAGGTCAGGACTAGTCATGCTCAGGGAATTCTGGGTAAGGTATGCTTTCAGTTCCCACTTCTGCTATTTTGCCAACCCAGGGAACAACAGGGTACAAGGCCAAACTGGCTTCCTTCCTCTTGGAGCAAGAAATCATGTCACTCTACACGATCATCAAGTCCTTTTATTTGTTTTTGTCCTGAAGTCTTGTGAACATGTATTCTATAAGACATGCGAAATACTTTTATTATCTATTGTAGGTAGGGGAGCTATGACCAGCTAAGACAGTGAGGGCGAAAGAGATAGAATGATCTGAGCCCTGGCGCGTCAGGGCTTTGGATTAGTGCTTTATTTTATTTTATTTTGTTTTTGAGGTAAGATCTTACTAAGTGCCAGGCTGGCCTCAAACTTTTGATCCTCCTGCCTCAGCCACCTTGAGTGGCAAATTATACTTAGGTCTCACTAGGTGCAGTTTCTGCAAGGGAGTTTTTGTTACACATGGCTCCTTCCTTTTCTGACTGATAAACACAGGCCTTCAAAATGTAAACATCTCTAGGATACAGAGAATATCTCTTCTTCTTGGAGAGCAGGGATGCCTTTTCCTCTTTCTCTTTGGTAATAGATTAACCCACACCCAGGCAACAGGGCCAAACCAAGCCCCATTCTGCTTCCATGCACACCTGACAAGTGCAGACCCCATGCAGCCCAGTAAGCCAACCTGCAGCAGGCTCACCAGCAAGCTCACAAAATAAGGAGCTGCTTTTCCCCTAAGCCACCAAACCACTGGCAGCAATCTGGGGAGGCCCAGGAGACAGCAGGCATGGAAAGGGGGAGGAGGAATGCACTTGGTCTTCCGGCTGGCACAGCCCCACAGACAGACCCCCCGGACAGTAAGTGGCCCCAGCCACACTGGCCTCCAGCTGCAGGAGCGGGTGCTTGGTGGCACAGGCTTCTGTGTCCTGCCCTGCCCTGCCCTTCTCACTGGACTGAGACCCTCTCTGCTCAGGGGACACATGGGAGGCAGCGGCACTGCTAGACCGGACATGAGGGGTGAAGAAGAGGAGCCCGTGGAGGAGGACAGCAGTTCCCCCCAGCCACACATACATACACATGATGCACTGAAGTGAAGTTTGAAAGCGGCCACAGGAACAACACTGGTTGTCTTTTCTTTAACCCAGAATCTCTTCCCAAGGGAGGTGCTAGTGCCCTGATTCAGCACCAGGCTGGAAGAGGTGGGAAGGGAGAGAAGGAATATTTCTTGAGCACTTACAAAGGGTCAGGTGCTGCATTAGGCAATTTAGGTGAAGATCAGCAACTGAACAGGTATATAACACTAACATAAATATTATATAGTGCTTAGCATATAAATATCATATAGTGCATAGCATGGTTGGTACGCGTAGCTATTTTCATTATTAACATACTGTGTCTGAAGCCTCACCAACAACCCTATAAAAAGGACCAATTCCTTATAAGGAATGTAAACATTATGTAGCACAAACATGTACTAATAAAAAATAAAAATGGGGAAAAAAAGGACATTCTTCACTTTATACTATAGACACACCAATTCAGAGAGCCAAATTCTACGTCCTAGTCTAAATCCAAAATCACTGCTTCAAGTATAAAATCAGTGCTAAGCTATCTCAGATTCAAAGCCTGGCAAAATTAGCAGTCCTTGTCTTAAAATATAAATAAAGAGGCGCTGGGATATAGCTCAGTGGTAGAGTGCCCCTGTGTTCAATCCCTCCCAGCACAAAAGAAAGAAAAATGATGTAAGAAAATGGAAAGAAGGCTATGGACTTA